GACCTACTGGTTCTTAATTTGTCCATACAGTTAAAGGATGGCGCTTCAAGGATCTCCCAGTCCCGTTTCTGCTTAATTCGTTCGCCTCATCCCTCAGGGATTCATGCTAGCAGAAGGATCCTTGGGCTTCACTCTCCCGAAAGTCAACTTGGGGAATGCTTTCTTCAGCCTCTCGTGTAACTGAATAAAATAACCAATTGACATGGAGATCAGAGCAGTGCAGAGGACAGGTTGGACAGAGAGAGAGACGTCAGTCATTTACAGAAAGCTGATGGGATTGTGAAGGGACAATCCCATTTAATATGATCAATAACAATCTTGCGATTGCTATCGCGCTTTCAGTGCTGGTTGGATCTCAAAGGATTCACGGGAAATAATGTAAAGTGTGTTTTTTAAGGCTGAACGCGGCAGCCAATTCGCACACCGCAAATTCTCAAAGGAGTGAGCGAGCAATTTTATTTGGAGAATTGCTGACCAGGACACAGGGAGAAACTCTCTTCTCTCTTCCAACTGTCCCTTGGTATCTTTGACGTCCACCTGAGACTGGAAACAGCGACAAGAGGAAGGTTACAGGGAGCTGCAGCTCAGTGGGTGTCAGGGCTGGGGCCCATGTTTCATACAGTGTAGCGTCAATTCAGGTCCACTGACTTACCTGCTCCCAAGCCGACGCCTTCAGTTGCTCAATTTCTTCAGGAGTCGGAGGATTTCCCTTGTACGTAATGTGGAGCGTTAAAGGCACCAAATGGCATTCTAAACAACAAACGGTTCTTAATCTCAGTTTTAGGCAACGGTTCTTCAATTGCTGACCCACAGCTGGAGTCAGAGACAAAACTGACGGCATCGTCAGTGAATTACAAGAACAACATGAACTCGCCTTTACACAGCGCCCTTCACGCACGCAGCGTCCCAGAACGTTTCATAGTGACAGAGCACGACGGTGAGCCAGGGGAGGTGAACGTAGGCACTGTCAAGTATGAAGGTCTTCAGGTACGACCTGGAAATGGGGTAGGAGAGGACAAGTGGGAGGAAAAGAGGAAGCGTGTTCCAAAGTTTGGGGGCGTAGTGAGTGAAAGCGCGTCCATTGATAGTGGAACGTAGGGCACGAGGGGAAAACAGGAGAGCGGAGGCAGTGGGTATTAGAATGTAGGGGAAGCAGGTGGGAGAAATGTGGAGGTGTGAGGACATGAAGGGATTTGAAAACGAGTGAGAGGATCCCCTCCCTCCCCCCCCCCCACCCCACACACACACACACAAACAAACACAATGGCTCAGTCCCGAGAACCTTTTGGCTCCCGTTGCACTGGCCCTGATCAGAGAGAGGAATGCGAGCGGCATTGGTGGGATATCATCTAAACTCAACACCGCAAATGTAAGACAATCATTTGGGAAGTAAAGGGGTTTGTGGAGAAAAGGCAGCGAATTGGACGAAAAGATCTACCACAATTTAACAAACTGGCTGAACAGGCTTCCTGCGCTGAATGGTCTCTCTGTCCCAGTGTTGTACCTCTAGAGGATGAGGTCGTAGAGACTGAAATGGGAGGTGGGCGGTTGAGTTGAAGTGGGGGTTAGGTGAGCTGCGGGTGAAGTGAGCTGGGGTGAAGTGAGGTGCGGGTTGGGCTGGTGAGGGAGGGATGAGTCGAGGGTGAGATGGGGGGTGTGGTGGGACGGTGATGTGCGGGCTTTGGGGTGTTGCGGGTGGTTGGCGTGTTGGAGGTTTGGTGTTTGGTTGTGGGAAGTTGGTTGGTTGTGGTTGGTGGGTTGGCGGGGTTGGGGGTCTGGCAGGTCCGGGGTTTGCGGTAGGGACGGGTTCGGTGGTTGGGCGGTGGTTGGGGTCGGGGGTTGGGTTCGTGGGGTTGAGGGATTGGAGAATTGGGGGTTGGGGGTGTTGGGTTTGTGGTTTGGGGTTTGGGATTTGGAGTGAGTTGGGGCTGTTGGTGGTTGGGGGTTGGAGTATTGGGGCTATTTGGGGTCGGGTATTTGGTTGAGTTGTGGGTTGGGGGCTGGGATTTGGGGATTGGGAGTTTTGGGGTTGGTGGGAGAGAGTCCAGGTGACAGAAAAAGAGCGCGTAAAGAGCTGTCGACTGGTTGAGAATTGCTGAGACACAAAGTGCACTGACCAGGGTTAGCATCACAGAAATCTTGATACTCGATGGTCGAAGTCCTCATTGGGAGGGAAGAGGGTGTTGGTTGTCTATCTGTGGAGACAGGAGAAGCATTACCCAGTTCGTCTCTGCTCACACTCCAGATATTACTTCAAGCCTAAAGTCCAGCAGCCAAGCACCAGGTTACATGATCCTTCATGTTGTCCACAATCAGAAAGGGATATGTTCCTATAATTATAATAGTACTACGAATGATAATCCTTGCATTTGATACAGCGCCTTATGACTGTGTAGTTTGTGCGCAAAACGCGGCAGCCAATTGTGCCGAGCAACGTCCCATAAACAGTCGTGAATTATTATTATTATTTTTGAAAAATTAAAAATTGTGGAGAGTATTATTATCCCTGGAAAAGGAAACCACCGATCGAACCGATCCGTAAACACAGCGTGTGGAATAATGAAACTCACCCAATGGATCAGCTGCTGGGAATCGAACCCAGGTGCCTTTGCAACGCCAGTGCTCTAACCACGGAGCTATAAGTTCCCACTAACGTGCACTAACGTACAGGTCCCCGCATTGACCTACAGGGCATCAAACTAACCAACAAGTCCTCACACTAACGGAAACAACCCCACACTGTCCTATAGCTTCCCACACTAAACTACAGCTTCCCACGCTAACCTACAGGTCTCCACACAAACCTACAGGTCAATACACTATCCTCCACAACGCCATACTAACCTACAGCTCCCTACAGTAACCTACAGCTTCCCACACTAACCTGCAGCTCCACACACTAACCTACAGGTCTCCATACAAACGTGCAGCTCTCCACACTAACCTAAACAGCCCTATACCAACGTACAGGTTTCCACACTAACCTAAACAACCCTATACAAACGTATAGGTCCCCACACTGACCTACAGTTCCCATACGAACCTACAGGTGCCCACACTAAAGTACAGGTACCCACACTAACCTGCGGGTCCCCACACTAACCTGCGGGTCCCCACACTAACCTGCGGGTCCCCACACTAACCTGCGGGTCCCCACACTAACCTGCGGGTCCGCACACTAACCTGCGGGTCCGCACACTAACCTGCGGGTCCGCACACTAACCTGCGGGTCCGCACACTAACCTGCGGGTCCCACACTAACCTGCGGGTCCCACACTAACCTGCGGGTCCCCACACTAACCTGCGGGTCCCCACACTAACCTGCGGGTCCCCACACTAACCTGCGGGTCCCCACACTAACCTGCGGGTCCCCACACTAACCTGCGGGTCCGCACACTAACCTGCATGTCCCCACACTAACCTACAGGTCAACCCAATGTAGTCTGTTAAATTGGGGTGTCGCTGTGTAAACCAGACCAGACACCTGCTCGGCTGCCATTCACCTATGAGGCCACGAGGTCAGTTGTAGAACTGAATGAGCAAAGCCCCACAGTCCAACAGGAGGCCCCGATTTGTGAATTTTCACCGACAGGAACACAGCCCCTAACGGCAGCCCAGGGACACTGAGCTGACGAATGAGCACCAGCATCTGAGGTGTCTGACAGGTTGTGAGGTTAATAATGCTCCACACCAGGAGCTACAGTCTGACCCACTAACCGGTTGGCAACCAGCAGCAGAACCCATGGTAGACACTTACCTGTCACACTGGAGGTCCCGGTAAAGATGTTCTCGGGATTCGCTGTAGGTGCTGGCATGTTGGGAGGAGGGAAGCTGGAAGGTGGAGTAGAAGAGTCCGTGCTCTGGGGAAGGGCAGGTGGATCTGAAAGACCAGAATTGGGAATGAACGAGAGGCTTTGAAGTCATGGATGAACTTTGTTCGGAGCCACCGTCAGAAACACCGCGCATAACGGGCAGCCCATGGACACTGACCTGTTTCTGAGCGGGAGGAGGCTCGGATGCTGGGCTCTGTGATGGGGTGAAGGTGTCTCTGACGGCTGTGGATGGGGTGGTTTCTGGAACTGCAGTGGACAAAGCTGTTGTTGGTGTCTTCTCTCTGGAAATAAACCGGGGGAGTTACTGGCCCTGTAGAGGGACAGTTATAATCTGTTACCCCACATTCACCCTCTGTGGCTACCAGCAATAAACCAAACACGAGGGCAACTTCCAGATTATCCTGCTGTACGTTATTCCCATCTGATGGACAACAATGTTGGTTACAGCGTAGGTTAGAGGCAGAGTAAAACCCCTTCTCTACGTGTCCCAGAATATCAGTGACCACCCCACACTCACCGCCACCGCCCCCACAGCAGGAGACGCTGCTGAGATCACATCTCACTCTGTCATTTTAGCCACACACTCATTACCTGTGTAACAGATAAATGGTCGTTTGTAATAGCATGGAACATCAAACCATACAGGAGCAGCATCTCCACCAATGTACACCCGGACACAGACTGATCCGGATGTGTATATCATTCTGATCTACATCTCCCCAATGTGTATAATTGACGTTGTCTCCACTTGACCATTTCCAGCCGGTCTCTGTCTGGTCATTGTTGTACAGCCCGATCCAGAACCATTGACCTCCAACAGACAGCGTATCAATGAGACTCTTCTCCTCTGGGCTCCGGATGCTGACGAGATCCGTTAGTGGACTGCGGCAGTGATCCCGGCTTCAGTCCAGTTTCTGTTCATGTCGATCCTGTGATACTCTCTGTCTGAGGATTGGAAGGTCTGTGCAACTGGGAAGAGGAGAAAATATCTGCATTGTATCTGTTGAGCAAATGACAGGTGGGTGAGGAACAGAAATGACAATTGGTGACCAGCTGCCCCATTCCTCACTAACCTACAGGTCCCCATACGCACCGACGGGCCCCACGCTAACCTAAGGTCCCAACAGAAACCTACAGGTCCCCACACTAACGTATATTCCCCACACTAACCTACAGGTCCGCACACTACCTGTTGGAGCAAATGACAGGAATGTCAGGATCAGAAGTGTCAATTATTGACCATCTGCCCCCAACGCCACACTCCCCCCCCCCCCCACTCAACACTCCCCCGCCGCGCCCCCCCCCCCCCCCCCCCCCGCTGTAATAACACCACCCCCCGCCCGGGCCAGGCACACACTCTGAGTGATTGTAAGTAACTGCGTGAGTGACTGACTATGAACGACTGTCAGTGAGTGACAGTATAAGTGAGTGGCTGTGTGAGTGAGTGGGGTGAACTGCTGGGTGAATATCTAGTGTGTGTTTGAGGATGAGTGCGTGACTGTGTAGTGAGTGAGTGTGTGAGTGAGTGACTGTGTGAGTGAATGATGGTGTGCATGTGTGACTGCGAGTGAGTGACTGTGCGAGTGACTGTGTGTCTGAGTGAGTGAGTCACTGTGTATGAGTGGCTGTGTGCGTGAGTGATATTGTGTGTGAGTGAGTGACTGTGTGAGTGAGTGACTGTGTGAGTGAGTGACTGTTTGTGTGAGTGATTATGTGCATGAGTGACTGTGTGAATGAGTGACTCTGTAAGTGAGTCACTGAGTGAGTGCGTGATTGTGTGCATGAGCGACTGTGAGTGAGTGCCTGTGTGTGACTGTGAGTGAGTGACTCTGCATGTGACTGTGTGAGGGAGTGACTGTGTGAGTGAGTGACTGTGTGTGTTAGTGACTGTGTAAGTTAGTGACTGTGTGACTGAACGACTGAGTGACTTGGGACAGAGCTGGGAAGGGGATGCAACATCAGTCATTACTATAAATGACAAGCAGTTCAGAATAGGAGACAGATATGCTGTTTGCGGCAATGGTAACAGTTGAGCTTTGTGTAGGGGTAGGGACTGATGCGCTGTGTGTGGGGGTGGGGACAGATGTGCTGTGTGCGGCAATGGTAACAGTTGAGCTGTGTGTTGGGTTGGGAACAGAGGTGCTGTGTGTGGCGGTGGGGAGAGATGTGCTGTGTGTGGGAGTGGGTACAGATGTACTGTCTGTGGGGCTGTGAGCAGATGTGCTGTTTGGGGTGTGGTATAGATATGCTGTGTGTGAGGAGGGGACAGATGTGCTGTGTGTAGGGGTATGGACAGATGTGCTGTGAGGTGTAGGGACATATGTGCTATGTGTGGGGATGAGGACAGATGTGGGGTGTGTGGTTGTGGGGACAGATGTGCTGTGTGTGGGGGTGGTGACATATGTGCTGTTTGTGGGGGTAAATATGGAATGACAGTGAGAGGGGAATTTCTGACCTGGAACCAGCAGCAACAACAGAAGAAACAGGTCCTTCACTGTGATCTGGGAGTTAGAGACCATATGAAACACAAGCGGCAATATTACTGGGCACAGAGACTGAGAGGGTGAGGGAGGGACACACACACAGCGAGAGCGAGAGAGAGAGAGAGAGAGATAGAGACTGATAAAGTGAGGGAGTGAGGGGGAGAGAGGGAGAGAAAGAGAGAGAGTGAGTGAGTGTGGGAAAAAGAGGAAGAGAGGGGGAAAAGCAAGAGAGTGGGATAGAGAGAGGGGGGAGACTGACAGAGGGACGGAAAGATAGAGAGAGAAAGCGAGTGTGAGGGAAACTCAGTGAGAGAGGAAGAGAGAAAGAGTGAGACAAAGATTCAGGAAGAGACAGAGAGGGAACGTGTGAGTGAAAGAGATGTTTGTGTGTGTGAGAGAAAGAGTGTGACTGACAGTGAAGGATAGTGTGAGACACAGAGAGTGAGAGTAAGAGAGTCAAAGACAGCATGTATATGAGAGAGAGAGAGAGAGAGAGAGAGAGAGAAAGAGAGAGAGAGAGTGACAGTGAATGAAAAAAGAGAGGACAGCAAGTGGGCAGTGAGGTTTGCCTTGAGATGGAGGTGTAATTTCAGGTATAAAGTGTCTCAGAACTATTTTCAGTTTTTACTATCAAATGCAGTGATTTGAGACAAACCCAACACCTGTTTGGACACAGCAACACCAACAACACATTGTGTGTGTAAAGCACCTTTCACGTCGGGAGGACGTCCCGAGGCGTTGGATACAATCAAATTCCCCCCACACACAGCCATGAGGTGAAGGAGCAATTGACTTGGAGGATTGTTGCCCAAGACATTGGGTGAAATTCTCTTTCCAAATTATGCTGCAGAATATTTAGTGTCCACCTGAACAGACAGACAGCAGCTCAGTCTAACTCCTCACCTGAAGGA